GGTAAAAGCCGTTTTCGTTTTACACCACCAATTCCACTTGTACTAGGTCTTGATAAATCTGAAGTTTGTTCCTGTTTCATGCATGATTCCAAATGCCGTTTGAAATTTTGACTCGTGATATATTTATTACAACCATCACACATCTTCAGTTTATATCGAGTATTAGCTCTTTTTGGATTGTTTCGACATATTTTTTCATGATAGGATATATTTGATTTGGAAATGATCTTCTTACAGAAACAGCATAGGATCTTAATTAACTCCATTTCATATATCTATAATATACAATTAAAAAGGCATTAACGAAATATATATATATATATTTTTTTTACAATCAATCTATACTATTGAAGATGTGGTGTCTGTCTGTGTGTGTGTGCGTGCGTGTGTGTGTGTGTGGGCGTTCGTACGCGCTAAACACAAAATTTACTGAACAGACTGGGCTTGAATTCAAAACTAATACAGCTAAGCTGATGATACTTACAGTACCATTCTCGCCTCGATACTGAACTAGAATTCTGCTCCGTGGGCTTTTAAAGTTCTGATACAACCACCAGACAGACCGCAATACAAATTAAATCCAGACCGCAGCATTCGTAGTGATAACACTCAGTAGTGCCATTTTGTTTGGAGGAAGCTAATGTGACAGCATACACGCACTCATTTATACGTCTCACCGTTAAATAAGGTTCATCTAAAATTAATTTCATAAATACAGTTTTTTTTTTGTCCGCATGAGCTTTATTTTAAAAATATGCTTGCTCGAAATATTTTACTATTTACATTAGTGACAACGTTTGGTTGCCATATAGCCTGGTTGAAACTTTTCTAAGCTTCCAGATTTAAAACTATTTCTAAAAATATTTGTATATTTGTTAAGAATACGAAAGCTTGGTTACTGGGCTTTAAAAGCATTGACTCAATTTGTAATATACAGAAATATATTTTCAATTAATTTTATTTTAATTTAGATCACTATATGTTTTATTTTCAATCTTATGAGAGGGCATCCCCTGTCTGTCATTTTAGCTGATAAAACAACTGGCAATAAACAGCACCACTTTCGGTGATGCCAATTCTACCACGCCAAATGGATTAAAGGTGATCGTGGTTTTAAGGTGAGATTTAAAAGGGATTAGTCCCCAAGGCAACAAAGAGCGAACTCTAGATCAAATCAAATCAAATCAAAATCATTTTTTATTTCAGTAAGTAATACATTGTTACAATACTTTGTCAGTATCAATTTTATAGTTATGCAATGGTTATAATAATATACTGACTTAGTAATTAAATATGAAATGCCTCTCACATAGGCTACTGCCCGTGCGTGAGAGATTTCCGCTATCAGGAAATAAATATTAGAAATTGAAAAAAAAATAGATATTTATGAAACATGACATGACAGTTAATTGGTAATAATTTAGTTGAAAGAAAAAGCCAATTCGAGAATAACTACAATAAAAAAAATATATTTAAAAATACTGGTAAAATGTAGATGGTTAAAATGGTTAGATGTCTAAATGTAAACAAGTATAACTTTGAAATGTATTTGATCGTATAATTCCTCGCAGCTGGTTCAAACACATAAAATAAGGTAAGTCAATAATAAAAGAAAATATTCATTGATGTAGGAGATAAGCATAATTCTACAACCATTGCCATATCAACCTTGGCTCTACTGTTATTCTAAATTTTGAACTATGCTTATGAGAGTATTTTTCTAGATATATTTGATGAAAACAGGAATACAATTACAATATAGGCAGGTTTGGAGCTATTGTAATAATTTTTAGTTTATAGTAAAAAGTAGTCAACCTGTGTTTTGATTAGAACTATTCCCGCTTCAATATTACTCTAAGACTCTGCCCTGTAGGCTTTCAAAAAGCTCAGGTGAGAAATGTAAAGGTAAATTTATTGAGCGAAGCTCACTTTCCCTCACTTTGTAACTTCTTTGTAAGAGCATCAGAATGTAATGGATTGACCAATTGATATGAAATTTGGCCAACAGCTAAAGAATACTGAGCACAATGTTTAGGTAGGTAAAAAATGGATACTATCAATAGTGTAAAATAGAACTTAGCTGATACTAGCAATAATCTAATTTAGAACTTGGAATATTAAAGAAGCTAACTCTAGTATATATCTACTTACCAGGAGAAGCACAGAACTATTACTGACGATACTCCCGTCCAACTGATAACCTCTTCACCTGATAACGCTTATTGACGTCATGTATATTATTATCACATGGTTTTATTATAATCTGACGAGTTCAAATTACTTCTTCATTGAGCATAATTTACTACAAAATGACATTCCATTCACATGCACCAAATGTACCATTGAATGTTTAATAAAAATATCCCATTATCTTTTCTGTTGCAACAAACTTATGTGCTCTTTGAAATCAATATTGAGCGAAGCAAGCAAAGCTCTTATACTACTCTTTGTTTTACAAATAACTTCTGAATGGCTAAAGCGATCCGCTCAAAATTTAGCACAGTCATGGTAACCATCTATTGGAAGATATAAATCTGAAATGGTAAAAATTAGAGTGGCTTTTGTTTTAAAATGATTAAATGCTATTTCAGCGTGAGGGGCTGATAATCTGAAGGTGCCAGGTTCAAATCCCACTGGTGACACAGATTTCTTGTCTAAATTGTTTTCATTATCAGCAAGTTTGGTTGGTTTGGTTAGGTTATGACAGTTTAATTGTATAATTAAAACATTATAAAATTAAATTTAAGCCATTTATAGTTTTATTTTACGAACAGAACTATTTTTCGATAAAACCTTCATTAGATTTTTTTTTATCATCAGCAAGTTTGGTTTTGTTTGGTTAGGTTATGACAGTTTAATTTTACAATTTAAAAATTAAAATTGAATTTGAGGCATTTATAATTTTAGTTTATGATCAGAAATATTTTGTCGATTAGTAAACCTTCATTCAAGATTTTTTTATTATCAGCAAGTTTGGTTAGGTATGACAGTTTAATTTTATAATTAAAACATTATAAAATTGAATTTCAGTCATTTATACATTTATTTTATGAACAGATCTATTTTTTCAATTGGTAGACCTTCACCATAGTAAATTAGAAGCCTCCATGTCATTTGACAAAACTAATCCTGAAATACAAATTGCGCTTTCTTCAATGTTTGTACCTAACCTAAAAACGTGTAGTACGGTGTTTGAAAGACTAATGTATGATTTATAACAACTGTAAGAAAATTATAATGTGTAAAGTCACAAAGTCCGTAAAATATAACCATTAACTATTTAATAGACCTTCTATCAATAGTCTGAAATAGAAGTTATCTGATACTATTAGATACTAGCAATAATCTAAGTTAGAACTTGTAATATAAAAGAAGCTAACTCTAGTATGTACTTACCAAGAGAAGCAAAGAACTATTACTGACGATATTACTGACATCCAACTGATAACCTCTCCACCTGATAACGCTGATTGAGGTCATGTATATTATTATCACATAATTTTATTGTAATCAGACGAGTTCAAATTGATAACCTCTCCACCTGATAACACTGATTGAGGTCATGTATATTATTATCACATAATTTTATTGTAATCAGACGAGTTCAAATTACATCTTCATTAAGCATAATTTACTACAAAATGAATAACCAATATTTTTGTTGCCAGAATTAGGCTAATGCACAATTGACTTTATTAGGTACTCCAAATAACCATTCTATATGTCAACAAAATATACCCTTTGGGTACCCCTTAGACTTTGGATCTTGGAATAAGACATTCTATTCACATGTACCGAATGTATCATTGAGTTTTGATACTGCAAGCAGACAATTTGTGATTCAAATGCACCATTGCGTTCGGATACTGCAAGTAGATTTCTCATTCATGTGAAGCGGATATACCATTGACTTGGATACTACAAGTAGATGCACGTGATCCGTGTACGCTTGAAAATAAGTTTGGAACACTTAAAGATATTACGACTACGATCAGTCGGTGCAGCGTTTCCCATTTAATTCATTGTTTATATTTAACTAAAGCTAACTATCACTGACGATACTCTCGTCCAACTGATACTCTCGTCCAACAGAAACACTCGTCCAACTGATACTCTCGTCCAATCGAAACTCTCGTCCAACTGATACTTTCGAACAACTGATACTCTCGTCCAAATAATACTCTCGTCCAACTGATACTCTCGTCCAAATAATACTCTCGTCCAACCGAAACTCTCGTCTAACCAAAACTCTCGTCCAAATAATACTCTCGTCCAACTGATACTCTCGTCCAAATAATACTCTCGTCCAACCGAAACTCTCGTCTAACCAAAACTCTCGTCCAACTAATACTCTCGACCAACTGATACTCTCGTCCAACCAAAACTCTCGTCCAACTGATACTCTCGACCAACTGATACTCTCGACCAACTGATACTCTCGACCAACTGATACTCTCGACCAACTGATACTCTCGACCAACTGATACTCTCTAATAATACTCTCCAACTGATACGCGCTCCACCTGATAACCCTGATTGACCTCATGTATACCATTACGTCAGCCTCGTACTCCCTCGTACTCTCATGATGATCAATCGGCGTTATACATCTACTGCTGATGCTTAAATAACTATGTAAATGCATGTGTGAGCTATGAGGCACTTAGATTTAGGAACTATCCAAGAAAAAGTTGTTAAAGATATATAATAAGCTCAAGAACATCTCGACCTACAGTATTTGAAACTTTATATCTCCACTGAATTTTTTAATAGCAATTGCTTGATCATAACATCTATATGGAAGTTGGCAAGCACAGGTGCACACTTAAACTCTTTGTACTGCGGATGAAAGGGGGTTTGATACAATTCCTTGATAAATCTTCACACGGCCACTAACGAACACTGACACTGCTTATTGGTTACGTCACGGAGAAGACAAACTAATATAGGCCTAGTGTCTTTTTTACTTTATGTATGTTGTTCTATGAGTTCCGTCCTACCTTGCAGTTATCAGCTCCAGAGTAGTGTCGTCCATCCACTGACAGATGCGGATTATATCATGGGGGTTGGCGGGGGAGGGGTAGGTCGTCTCCTCTAAAGTATCATACTCGCAGTGACAAAACGCTGTAGACAGGTGGACGAATGCCTGTAAAATCACATGACACGATTACTGTCGTATTTTAAAACAATAATCCATATAAAATAGAATTTAACACATAAAAAGTATTTTGAAAGAGTTTTTAAAGTTCATAGAAATAAAACAAATGTCTATCTGGGGTTACTGTTTATTCGGCATAGACATATTTTTATTTATGAATAAATTACAAAAACAACGTACACGATCGTCAAAGAAAGTTCAAAGCATTGTGTTTTAAACGATCATGAAATCGGTGTAGAATATACACAATATGTATAATCAATATTTTTTAAATATTTTGCCGTATTTCAAGATAAAACACAGAGACCATACTCCTGATTCCAATACTGAGTTGATATAATTTTACTCGTTGTATTCATTTTATAATTAACCTGTTTGGTACTTATAATGCCTTTCTAAGTCAACTGGACGTTGCCTATTATATTGTTAAATTTAGAATGCATAGCTTCTTGATTAAATACTTTCTTCAAAAACACCCTTACTTTCAAGCAAAAGATTTGTTGCAAAAGAACAAAAACAAAAAAGGAGACTGATGCGAAACACAAACCAACAAATTAAGAAGCCATCAGCAGCACATTTATCTTTAGTATCAGCATTTTCTGAGTAATATATCATTGTCTGAGCTTGTTTGCTTGCTTTAATTAATCACTTCATCATGTTTGATAAAAAAAAAACTTACAGGACAAAGTTAACATGGTATTTAGATGTATATTACAAAGTGTTATTTGTTTTAGAGAAGTGTATTTTTACCATATCAAACATGCATGAATCAGTTTCACAAACAGGTTAGAGAGATAATGATATAATTAAAATTTACATTTCTCTTACAATGAGTTGTAATATTTACATCGAGAATCAAGAGGAGAACCATTATAATTTCGAAAGTAGCATACTCAATAGAAGGTTCTCTTGATTTGGAAATGAAATTATATCTAAAAGGAATTCTAATGTTAAAAACGGTGACATAACGCTGTATTTTTTGCAATTACTATGCAATATAATTAATATTACATTTAATGTACTAACTACAGTTTTCACGTTGTTCCCTTTTGAAACGATGTCTTGTGAAATAAAGAGGCAAAGGAAAGTAAATAATGGAAAATGCTTTCCATTTCAGATTGAAAAAGGTCAAATATGACGAATACACAAAAGGAGTCTTTGAATAAGAAATATCTGAGGGAGAAATGTGTTCAACCGGTGTTTTAGATGTCGGAGTATGTTTACATATACAGACCATACTTAAAAATTTCAAAAATATCATTAGGGATCGGTTTATGGATCTGCAATTATGCATTGGTAATATGTAATAAAACGTATTATAGGACATTTTTGCTTGTATTCCTGTATTATTATTACTAAAATTAATTATGTATTTGTCATTATATACACAAAAACTAATAAAATTTAAACAACATAAATAGTCTAGAAACCGTTCTAAGTTTTATTGAGCTAGAGGTTAACCAATGATAACAATTGGTTTATTATTTATTGTTGTTGATATTATAACTACCCTTCGTTTACAGCTTTGATTATATAGTTTTGAATTTGCATGATGTGTATTCTGTTTAATTGTTTGATTTAACCTTCCTCTTACCTTACCCTTATATTCCATGTTTGTATTTAGTTCTAAATGCCATTTAATTTTACGGCATTGATCAAGACACATGCTTGCTGATATATTTCCGTATGGTTTTGATGTATTCAACACTTATGACCGGACACCCTGTATTTTGTTACAAGTTTTTTTTTGTTAATTACACGTTAAAAATCATGATTGCCACAAAAAAATCAACCTACGATAAATAACCAAATATATACCATGAATAATTTTCGTATAAGCGAAAATAATGACAAAGAATTTTAGATGCACTTTACCCTTTTAGTGTTTTTTAATATTTTTTAAATCTATTGGTTATGTGTTTTGCTATTGCATGGAATGAGGAAATTTCAAAATGATAGTCAGGTGACAATTGAGTAAAGGTAGAAGTTACAACGGTCACTTGACCCAGAATATATACTGATCCATCTTGGTCTTTGGTAAGTCCAAGTTTAATTAAGTGTCCAATGTTAAGTCATTAATGACCGCACAAGTCTGGGACTTACCCACAAAACGCAGACCTCCACCCAACCCAATCAAAATGTAGTACTTTGACGTCGAACAGGTTACACATTTAGGGCTTGTTACAATACGCTATCTGACTTACTTTTGGGATTTATAGAAATTGTAATTTGAAAATATTTTCTATATACATTTTCAGGTAGACATATATGTCACAACGGGTGGCAATTTTTGGCACTTGAACTAAAGTAATTTTAATGCTGTAGAGAATGTAGTATGCAAGAGGTAAAACCTGTAGTGTAATATTTCGTACCTAATTAGTTTGGTTTAAAAAGTAATTTCAGAAATAATCAGAAATAGCGGCTTACTGCTTAGGTGGTTGATATTTAAAATGAGAAAATATGTAAACTCGCAATTTGCATAATTTTGTAACCTACTTGTAAATTATATACGTTCATTGAACCAAATGGTGTATATTTTTAGTTTGATATTGATTTCGAAAGCTTTCACTTTAAATAAAGAACATAGTTTTTGTGGTGGTTTTAAAGTTCTTTGAGCATTATTCTTACAGAGATTCTTTGTAATATATTCATTGCAATATAATGGAACAGTAAATCAGGTGTTATAATGCTATAATAGATGATAGGCTGCTCACTAACGTGCAATACAATGTAAATGAATCACTATTTGTTTTCAAACTATTTAAGGTAGAACACGAAGAACACTTCACAAATTGTTAAACGTATTACTATATTCTAATCCATATATTTAATACGCTACATGAAACTTTGTGAACAATAAGGCTTTTCACATTTTACATACCGAAATCTTCGTCTGGGTGTGTAGATGTGCAAACTGGCTTTAGATTTTCGAAATATATCTTTTTAAGGGCGTGGGCTGCCCTCAAAGTTCCTTCCATAAGGATAACATTGTGATTGATTTGAATGTTATTATGAAACAGATGTCAATACATTAGATGAACAAAAATTAAATCCCAGCTGTTTTGTTTGGTTTTGAAATGTAGACAGTTTGCATGTTTTGAAAAATATTAGAAAGCCGACAACGGAATGTTACCTATAGAACACGACGGGAGAAAAGATTTACATTATATTTTCGTTTAAACATGCCAAGGACCCGACGACAAAGAAATATTGCTGGTCGGACACGGCGAGTCAACATACGGCAAGCTATGAAAAACGTAAGGAGACCAGACGAGGAGCTGGAACAGTTAGTCGCAACGTACAAAATTACACTGACAAATACAAGAATTCAGCAGCATTCACTTGGCGAGATGGCATTAAAATGTCAGAAATGTGGTGCGCTACATTTTAAAGAAGGACGAGGTGAAGGATTTTCATCCTGCTGCCATAAAGGAAAAGTGAATTTACCACCATATCCAGAAATCTGTTATATTCAGAGCCTTAATGGAGCAAATCACTTGAAACTACAAAGATAACATTAGATCGTTATCTAAATGCGCTCGCAATGGTCAGCACTCGAGCTAAAATTGAAGAACACAACGGTGAAGGGCCTTTCATGTATAAGGTGCACGACACAATTTAACAATCAATTGGCACCTTACAACCGTCAGAAGGGGAGCATCCCACATATGCCCAAATTTATATCTATGGACGTCGAAACCACTGTTAAAGGAAGAATGCTAAACAAAGCTAATAATGGCTCTTGCAGCACTGAACTCATGCACATTTTGACTCATCATTTGGTTGATATTAATCCATACGCGCAAGTTTTCAGCATGATTAGCTCCGTTCTGCAAAATATTCCTATATTGAACAGAAAAAAGAACTTAGAATAATTCATATAGTCAACGATCGAGCCCAAGACCAACGTCGATACAACGACGCAACTTCTAACGACGTTGCTATAATATCCTAATTTTTTTTTCGTGTGAATTCGCACGGGTTCACCTAGTTGTTTATTATAGCACTTAACGGTGTTATTTGTTTTTGGATGATGTAAAGCATTATTAGTCGATTAGAAAAAAGTGAAGAAACCTGATGCACAATTTTAGTTAGAATTTATATCTGTGGACATATTTGAACACTTTTATGACTAAGCACTTTTATTGTTAAGTTTTGTTAAGCTTGCACAGAATTACTAAGCTTTAGCTGTTGCTCATTGTGATGAGGATTTTATAAAAAGTAAAGGCTAATTAAACAGTTCCATATACTAATAAAGTTTGAACTGCGGCATTTGTCCCAATCGAGTCCAAACTAGATATGGTATGGCAGGCCAATTAATTAACTAAACCGTTGAATAAGATTTCTATCAGGTTTCGATATTGAGAGAGCATACTATTCTGCACATCCTACTAATTGAACTTACTTATAACCATTCAACTTTATCAACTATATAACATTTAAACGACCCCACTATATATTATTTATTATATTATATTATTTATGTTCAATTTCTTTGGATACAAATGTAAATAAAACATAGGGACACATTACGTTTTGTTTATAATGCTGCTTTCTTAAATTAGTTAATTTTAAATAAGACGTATAGTTTTAATAGAAAAACGTTAAATACTAGGCTTAAAAAATCAAGTATATAAGTTTTATGGTAAACATTTCGGGTGAGCGTTTACTTTTAATTTGTTATAATAGTTTATTCATAAGTGACTCTTAGCCAAACAAACCCAGTTTCTAGATTTATAAATGTAAAATCTACGTGAGATTAGGTTGATCATCAGAAGAGGAGCTTTGAAAACCCATTTTACCCACCGGAAGTTGTTAGGTGTAGAACCGGAAATGAAACTTTTACACTTTGAGCTAACGTTTGTTGCTATAAAAATGGAGAGCTTCCCTATGGGCATCGGAAGATTGTCCCATTGCAGATTGTAGGCTATATACGTGTTCATAGTAAAAATATGGAATCATTATTAAATATTTTGTTTTAAATATTA